TTTATCCGGACCCCGATAGGTTCTGCAAAGAGTCCCCGAAGCCACTCCCAATGAACGCTCCCTCTGAGACCAGGATGTCGTCGGCTCCATCGATTCGATGGCGTTTACTAGAGCGCTGAGTAGCTCATCGTTTCAGGAATGTCAACATGATGATGTATAATGCATTTTGGAGGCATTATTGATTCGATGTCATGGCATCGACGGCTACATCAGCCGTATCAAGCTCGGCGTAGGCGCGAGGACGACCGGCTGCTCGAGACCGCCGTCGCACTCCAGATCTTGTTTTCGAGCTTGCTCTTGAGGTAGCAAAAGCCGTCGTTGATCGTAAAGCCGGCACATCCACCCGTTGCCGAGCACTTATCGCAGCAAAATCGGGCTTGGTTGCTGACATCACCACTCACCCGCTGCCGGGTGAGGTCATTGCCGTAGTAGTCGGTGTTGGCCTCGGTCGCACCGCACGATCCACTGGACCGGCTGCCCGAAACGGCCGTCTTGCTCGAGCTCTTGTTTTCAAGCTTGCTCTTGAGGTGCAGAAGCCGCCGTTGATCGTGAAGCCGGCACAGCCGCTCGTTGCTGAGCACTTGTCGCAGCAGACGCTCACGTAGCTGTTGGCGTCGCCACTCACCGGGTGCCGGGTGAGGTCGTTGCCGTAGTAGTCGGTCTTGGCTTCAATCGTGCACTGGCTGCTAGAAGATGCGGGGGTCGGCGCCGGACCGGGATCTTGGCCGATCTTGGGTGCACCTCCCGCCACAAAGTAGCCCTGGTTCCAGAGACGCTGGAAGCCGTCGGGAAAGAAGAGACCGGCGTCGGGACCGGCGCTCGAGTCGCTCGACTGGCCCACGCACTGCCCGTCCGACTCGCCGGGGACCTTGAGCCAGAGGTAGTAGTCGACGAGTGGGTTGCCCGTATTGTCCGTCGGCGGCGCGCCAATCCCGGCCGACCGTGCGTTGCACCACTCGTTCTGCGGCGACCCGTTAAAGTTGCGCGACGTGTCAATGATGCAGTGAAGACCACCCGTCTGCCGCGAGTACGACTGGCACAGCTGGTTCATGTCAACCGTTTGCTTGTAGTTGGACGTGTTGATCGGGATACCCGTGAGCTTGCCGAGTTTGCCGATTTTCTTGAGGGCCTTGATGGCAGGTTCCTGGAAGGCCCAGCCCGCGACATCCGCGTAGATCTGCGCGTTGCTGTTGGCCGCGAGGATGCTCGTGGCCGCGGCGAGGTTCTCTTGGTATCCGTACTTTTTAGCGCACTTGTCGCCGTCGCCGGTCGAGTAGAGGCCAATGGCGTTCGGCTCCAAAATGTAAATGACCTTGCGGTTGCCGACTCGGTCGGCCAACGACTGGATCCATGCCTTGTACTGGTCGGCGTTGGTGTTCTTGCCGTCGCTGGAACCCCACGCGCAGTTCTTTTGGGGCAAACCGTAGACGATGATGACGGGCGTGTCACTGGGGCAAGCGGCCAGGAGCTCGTTGATCGAGTCACTGCCGCAGTCGACATACCAGTTGGCGACCGGGTACTGCTTGATCATGTCGATGGCCGGCGCGAACTGCGGGTTGGTTTTCACAGCGTCGGTGTACGACGGGGGTGCGAGGCCCTTGCAGATGGCAGACGAGACGGTCGTGATGGCAGCGGCGGCCAGCGCCAAGGTGAGACTGAGCTTCATGGTTGTCCAAGTGGGCAAATTGAAAAATGGGACCCGAGCTTATCGCCACGGATCAATCAAGTTGCCGGCCGAATGCAAAATTGCGATCGTTCGTAAGCCATTTCATAACTCTACGAACATTCCCCCACAAAATACGAAACGAGACTGTCTGCCCCCAGCTGCACCTACCTGCGCTCGATGCCATGACGACTGTGCATCGGCTATTGGATGCGCCGAGCCTCAAACTTGCTACTGCGTTACATCGATGCGTGGGTGTGCTGAGCAACTTCTTCTTCTCAGCCGCTTGCAGAGCCGAAAATACAGAGATGAAGCCGCAAAGGGACGCGGTGTCGATCGGCTACTCGAAGCTACCGATCTGTGCTGCGTCCACCGATGCTGGATTCCTCAGTCGATGCGACGAACAAGGCTTCCTGCGAGGACCAGGTGCCATCGGTCATCGAATGTGGTGCGAGGGTCAAAAAGAGTAGAACACTCTTGCACCGAACCGAATTGAAAAAATTGCGCACGTGTGTAGGCGCTGGCGATTCTATCACTCTTGCAGAGACTCGCACGCCATGGCGACAGTCGATGGTCCTGGTCCTTGTATTGGATACTACCAGTAGTACGTTCACTCGCATCGCTCGGTCGCTCGCGGACCGCAGCCGCGACACGCGGGTGCCCATATATTTGCGCTGGGTGTTGCTATGTCGTTGGAGCTGCTTTCGATAACTTCTCTTACGCCTTCCCCTCGGCTCCAATGAGACAACGCAAGCATGGACCCATTATTGGCACAGCGTAGGTTCGCTCACTCGCCGCAAGCAAGCTGATGCAAGCACAGTGTCCTGCCCGCAGCGTCTCCGGCATTTCCGGACAGACGTGTCCTTGGCCACTGAAATGATCCAAGCGCTGCGGGTCGGCGCATAGAGCGTGGTTTCGAAAACATAATAAATATATTTGAATCAATTTGCTCAAATTTCACCCAGTGCCCAGGAATAGTGGCCTCAAAGCATCAACCCGCAATGAAGATTGT